AGTAATGGTTAATGAAGATTAAGCAACTGAATAATGAATGGCACAAACAATTTAAAAAACAGTAGCTATGATATTGATAATGTCACAAATAATGATACTTTGATGATAATCGTAAACGAACTGATAACAATGACCAATCATATTGAAACGATACCAATAACAATGATAAATTTTAAACGAATTACCAACCTCGACGGTGCGCTCACGTTGTTCCAACACAAACTAATCATCGATAGACACGGCTCCCAACACGGTCCATAAGTCGCGTTCAAATCGGCGATTTCACACTCCAAATCGTAATAATACTTCAGTGGACACATATTCCTGTCCACGGTGTACTCACCCCATGGCTCTGGTAGTGTTATTTTACAACTCCGTATTGATCGATTACCTAGAACACATACTTCTAAATCGATTTGCAATTATATGGCCTAACTCAAACTCGACAATATCGATGACTCTTCTAAACCAATCGGTTTCGAGAAAATTTTTTCATTTTACGAGCGAAGGTTTTGCTCGAAACCGTGTACGTACCAATATCAAACCATCCACTGTTCTTTACTTGTAACAAATTTTTCTGTCAGTCTCATTTCGCACATTTCTACCACTACTAAATCAATGGCCGAAGCAAAATTTACGATTTCATGCGGTAATATGTTCACAAATCAAAAATTGTGTGGTATATTTGAGGGAAAGAACACACCACCGAAGAGTAAACAATTCACTGATGTTCACGAACTCCATCGATGATTCAAAACCTAACAGCAATCAATTAAAATCGTAATCATTTTCAACTTCTGATTCAATAACCAACCGAACATAAACATCACTTCAAAAGCAATTTCACAATATCGACAAAAAATCACAAAACAGAAAAAGAAACCAACCAGCCAAATGTTCAGCACCAACGAGATGTCCCCAGAAATGGCCATCTCTCATCATTTGATAGGGCAGTGGATAGTCACGGAACTGTATACGCCACTCGTTGAAATCCAACTCGACGGCACGTGCCCACAACGTACTGAAGTCCATCCCTTCGCTTGGATACGGCCTGAAAAAAGGATCGCATCGGGTGACGGCAAAGCGACCAGTTTTTCAGTCATTAAAAACGTGATCAAAATTTGAGGCGAGTGGTCAAAACAAAATGGCTACTGCACGGTACTCACGCTTCTGGATTGAATTTCCTCAACAAATTGACTGCATTCTCTTTACCATGCAATGATCTGTCTGCATAAGCGTGAATCTAAAAAATGTAATTATTCGATCCAACCAAATTCTATCCTCACAATCAATTTAAAAAAAGTGATTTCTTTCGACGAAATGCGAATCTCTTAAAAACGATTTGTTTTTCTTAAACAAATATGCGAAAATACTCGACATCAATGAAAATGTAAAACGTTGCTTGTCGCTGAATTTGGAAAATAATTCAATGAACTTCAATTTCAGAGACAATTTTCATCGCATTCTAACACTTCAACGACGACTCACACACAAACACACCATACCTCAAGGTTTGTGATTGTCCAAATAACCAAATGCGTTCGTGCTTGTGGTGTTTTCTTCGATCGCTCCACATAAATTTCCGAGTTCTTTTTCAGCAATGATCGATGCAATTCATCGCATTTCGATTCTACAAAAAATCTCAATTCTTCTCGACAATCACTCGAAAATCTCCTGTTAAACATCAGTAATTATACTGACAACAACAAAAATATATACAACAAATCTGACGTGTCAATAACGGATGCTGCTTCCTGAGCTGCTCAAGTTTCTGATCAAGCATTCGTCTGCGTCTCTCGCACTCGTACACCTCGTCGACCATCAGCTCGTAATTGCTTTGCAGTTGCACTTCAAACGGATCATCATTCATTTGAAACGACGCATGCTACAAAACCAAATAAATCCGTCAATTCAACAACTCAAATCGATGCCAAACATCACTAATCATAAAAATAATACTAATATCAATAAGTTTCAAAATCCAATATCAACACTGATATCTTCGACTTCGTTACCGATTCCGTCTCAATCAACACGCAACGATTCCGCTTATTTGTTCTCATTCTTTCCAAAGATAACATCAGAATACTCAACATATTTCATCACTATCAATTACCATCGAATATATAAGTGAGAATAAGATAAACTGACCATGAGACTAATCCTATAGATTTGATTAAAAACCAACAAACTGCTGTTCATCAGAACAATGATCACAAAATTCCATTTCAGGCCAAAAGAAAGAAAATCAAAACAAATTGACAAATTTGAAAAGTTTAACGACACACCAATTAACACTGAATAACTCTCCGAACCAACCTTGATTGAAAAACTCAAATCGCTCGGTAACGGTGAATCAACTGTGAACGGTTTTTGCTTGAGATCATGCACCAATTTTATCCATTTCCATGCGTTAATCAACTGCAATCAAATGCATTCTCAATTGTTCATTTCTCAACAATCGCCTCTTCAAAACTTCCGCTTACTCTTCAGTATTTCGAACGCATAATCCAGAAATGAATACTGCCAAAAAAGCGACGAAACAAACACAATGTTTGCATATATACGCACAGCAAATATCTGGT